TTATGTATGTATGTATGCTCAGTTTTAATACAAACAAAAAAAGGATATTTCCACTTCACTATATCATTATGTATGTATGTATGCTCAGTTTTAATACAAACAAAAAAAGGATATTTCCACTTCACTATATCATTATGTATGTATGTATGCTCAGTTTTAATACAAACAAAAAAAGGATATTTCCACTTCACTATATCATTATGTATGTATGTTCAGTTTTAATTAATACAAACGAAAAAGGATATTTCCACTTCACTATATCATTATGTATGTATGTATGCTCAGTTTTAATACAAACAAAAAAGGATATTTCCACTTCACTATATCATTATGTATGTATGTATGTATGCTTAGTTTTAATTAATACAAACAAAAAAGGATATTTCCACTCCACTATATCAATACACATTTTCCGTAGAGGATTCTTCAAGGTTAAACACATGAGCGCTCGGACTGGTCTTTCTACCACCTTTGGGCCCTTTCGGACGGGCCTTTTCCGTTCCTTGTTCATGGTTGTCTGGTTGGAAGCAGCGGCTAATGTTGTTTTCCAAGCCTTTGACAAAGGTTTGTCAACACTCTCAAGGCTTCTTACATCGAAACCAACGCCAGTGGGTAAGTGTTCAGTAAATCCGTTTTTAACTGCAGAAGATGGATGGTGCCTGTCGTCAGTTGAAGGTCCAAGTGTCCGGTTATCAGGAGCCGATACTGGACGGCTGAATCTGTCATTAAGTTGCTGATGTTGGTGGTGGGCCGACGGCCCTTGACCATGGTGTTTTCCTGTAAAATAAAGTTCGCAAAGCTTAGTGTCTTTTCACATAATTATCAAATACAATCTAACAAATTAATGATATATTAAGTAGTATTTGTTATTTTCAACCGGAAGCGACAAGTTGGTTAAACGGACAAGGCTCAGATATTTAGAACGAAAGAGCAATCAGTCATCAGTCTTTTTGGCCATCCACTAAAACTAGTATTCATGTTAATATATGCTCTCTCTCTCTTAAAAATAGGAAATGCTCAGTAGATTATCATAAAAAAGGCTAAGTTGCTTGGGTTTTATTTGTTTGTTTGTTCCTAAGCACAAGGCTACATCGTGCGTTATCTGCGCTTTGCCCACATCGGGTATCGAAACCTGATTTTTAATGTTATAAGCCCTTAGACGTTCCGCTGAGCCACCAGGTGGCAGCAAACTCCTTGATATAATCGGAAACTGTTATCGAACATCGAATTAAGTCACCTGGTGGCTCAGCGGTAAGTTTGAGGGCTTATAACACTAAAAACGGGTTTGGATATCCAAGGTGGGCGCAGCATTGTGTAGCTTTGTGCTTAACAGAAAACAAACAAAAACATTGATTGATATCCCTCATCATACGTATAGCCTGGATAATAAAGTGATAAAACCACAAGAACAATATAATACGTTTATTATTATCAAAATATTATTATTTACTTTTATTTATTTGTTCCTAAAGTAGCACAATGGTCTGTCCAACCGATTTTTAGTGCTATAAGCCCTCAAACTTACCACTGAGCCGCCAGGGGGCAACATTTACTAGTAGTAATTTTCAACTGCTTATCTAAAGATAAGATTAACTTAAACGACAATATTAACTTTAAATGGAACGGTATTCGGTGGTTATATCACACAGAAGCCACTTCACGACAATATTAACTTTAAATGGAACGGTATTCAGTGGTTATATCACACAGAAGCCACTTCACGACAACCGAATACCGTTCCATTTAAAGTTAATATTGTCGTGAAGTGGCTTCTGTGTGATATAACCACCGAATACCGTTCCATTTAAAGTTAATATGGTTATATCACACAGAAGCCACTTCACGACAATATTAACATGCTCGCCCTTTTAGCCGTGGGAGCGTTATAATGTGACGGTCAATCCCACTATTTGTTGGTAAAAGAATCGCCCAAGAGTTGGCGGTGGGTGGTGATGACTAGCTGCCTTCCCTCTAGTCTTACACTGCTAAATTAGGGACGGCTAGCGCAGAGAGCCCTAGTGTAGCTTTGCGCGAAATTCAAAAAACAAACAAACACCAAACTCGAATTTTTGCGTCATTAGCCTGAAGGCATGCCGCTGAGCCACTGTGGGAGGGGAGGGCTCAAAATAAAATCGAACAGTTTGAAACGCCTACGTTAATAATTGGCCCGCCATGGCCAGGTGGTTAGGGCGTTCTACTCGCAATCTGCGGCTCGAGGGTTCGAATCCCCGTCACACCGAACATGCTCGTCCTTTCATCCGTGGGGGCGTTATAAAGTAACGGTCAATCCTACTATTCGTTGATACAAGAGTAGCCCAAGAGTTGGCGGTGGGTGGTGATGACTAGCTGTTTTCCCTCTAGTCTTACACTGCTAAATTAGGGACGGCTAGCGCAGATAGCCCTCGTGTAGCTTTGAGCGAAATTCATAACAAACAAATAAACGTTAATAATTATACACGTTTCACTGGAACGTGAAAATATGTTACTGAAACGTAAAAGTTTTTCGCCTCTAATACGACAAGGAATACTTACATTCAGTTATCATTTTCAAACAGAATAATTCCCAGTTGGCTAATTACAGATAACTGTCATTCCCGTTAGATTCACATAAATTTCTGTATCTTTCAAAAAAGCAGTTACGGCATGAGCTGTGTATGCAATTAGATATAACACACCCAAAGTATGAAGAAACACACATCACGTAAATAAGGCATTACTAAGCAACGGTAAAACATCATCAACATATTTTAGGTAATACGTGTAAATCTTAAATTTAACGATACACATTTCAAAAACATTGCACAGCATGATACGAACTGACTGGATCTATATGTACACACAGACAGACATTAAACACATTTACTTCATACGTGAGCTGGGAAGCCACATCGATGTTCGTGTGTACCCGAACTTGTCAGGATCCCGTTACGTGTTACAAACTCAATAACAACTTCAAACTCAAGTACAAGTAGTATTTAAACGGTGCACGTATGTGAGACTGCGTACACGTTCGTATTTCCGGAAGGCCAATTGTTAAATTCTGACGCCATCTGCTGTTGTTGTTTTTTTTTTACTTCTTTTTTTTTTCTAATTTAATCAAAATTATAATGGAGTATAAAACACGTTTTTTTAATATTTTTATACATTTCTTCCGTTCTCTTATCCCGTGGTGCGCAAATTATGTGGCGCCCCCTACGACGTTAGGAAAATATAATTTATATCTTAAAGTACAAACTTGGAAATGAAGAAGTTTTAAAAACAACCCTACAAATATCGCTACTATTAATTAATATAGTAATAACAATTTACTTGGATAAATGACATGTACAGTATGTACACAAATAGGTTATAGGGGGCGCGGTTACGGACAAACAAAACGCACGTTTAGAAAGGGAGGAAGTCGCCACCAAAATTGTTTGCGCGTTACTGCTCTGACCAATCATTTGGTTTAATAAATCTTTTAGTAGCTTGTTTTTCTTTCGTAAATTTTAGTTTATGTTTCACGATCTAGACACCTGCCCGTGCATAATACTGATCCACTTACACAAATAATTCACGCGCCGATAAACCACCCTATTGAATTTCTAAGAGAAAAAAAAATCAGCCATTCGAAGTATTGGTTACGATATATTATGCACATATATACTAATAATACGTCAAAAAGGTCGCTAACATTTCCGGTATAACAGTTCAAAAATATCTAAAACAGCAACTTTTTCGTCTACTACCTACCTGATCACGTCAGTGGGGCTAGCGCCTAGAAGGCTCGGACTATCTCTACATGATTGCTTCAGCTTACTTGACTGGTCTGCGGGTATCCGCTTTTGATATTCCGATAAATATATGAATATTTTTTTTTATATAAATGGTAAACATCATGTTCTTACATAAATATCTTTTAAACCTAATAGATGGCGACACATATCAATGGATAAACACGAGACAGTTTCTAAAGATAAAGTTTGTTTGTATTTAAGCACAAAGCTACACAATGGGCTATCTGTGCTCTGCCCACCACGGGTATCGAAACCGGATTCTAGCGTTGTAAGTCCGCAGACATACCGCTGTGCCACTGGGGGGGGGGGGGGCAAACGATAAAGTATATACTTTATACAGGTATAACGTAAAAAATAAATAACCAATAATATTAAAATTTATGAATTTTAAAACGAAGTAGGGATCCTGCAAGAAAAAAGTAATGAAACAAGAATGAAAACCACAATCACAAATTTATAAAATTTAATTCGTTCTTTGGCAGCTTTATACACTTATCTGTAGGCCAAAGTAAGAATTACACCTTATAAATTTGTGATTGTGATTTTTAATTCTTGTAAAAGTTATAGCTATCAGAGTTATGGCTATAGTGAAAGTTTATAGACGTTATGTTCATTCCATGGACATATAAAAACTGAACAAATAAATAGGTTTTCTGGTTGGTAAATGTAGACTGCTTCATTTAGCTATAGAGATCACACAATCATTTTTGTGTTTTGGATACTTCTTATAACAATTCTATGAATAACCAACGATCCCTACTTTCCGTTAATTTTTTTCCTATTTACACACTATAAAAATATATAAATTTGGATGTCTCCATTTTAAAACATTAAGACATTATTGTATCCATGTTTTAGCAGTTAGTTCTGAGTCTTATTAGAACGAATAACTTTTAATAAAACTCTATCTTAGTTTGGTAATGAACCTGTTATACATTTATACTGGACCCCTCCACATTTAAGTGAACAGAAGAAACATAAAGTTTTAGTTGACTTGAGGTAATCTGTAAATCTTAGTCTAACCGTACCCTAAACGTGAGGCCTGCAATTCAATATAATAAATTACATGTCTTTATCACTCAGTTGAACCCACGTCGTTGTTGGAACTTTAGATAGGTGGATATGATTCTTCTGATACGTGGGATTGTTTCAGGTAGTTGTTGAAATTAAATTAATTATCTTTTTATTACTAAAATCTAAATAACAGTCTTTTTTTTCGTGCCGGTTTTGTACTCATTTTTTTCTATATATTTTGATTAATGTTATTAAGAACCTGATAATTAATAAGTAATTACAATAACTTTATTAGGATGATTGATTATTAATCGTTGTCATGGCTATAAGATCATCTAAGTCTATTTTTTAATTAATAACTTTTTATAATTAGATACTAATTACTAATGGGTTTTTATCCTACGTTTAGGCTGTTAACTCACCTTCTTCCATAAATGTTAACATTAACATAATTCTTAAATAATTTTAGGTTACATTATCTCCCGACATCCCCTAGTAACAAAGATTAATTCAGAAATTTAATAAAGCTTCTGACTAAGACCTGCAAACAATATGTAAATAACATAAAGTCAGGACAATATTCAGAAGCTTCAACACACTACGATCACAGTTAGTACACATCAAATCACATAAAGGGCACAGAGAACGACACACGATAAGTTTGAATAACAATATGGTAATAGAACATGCACCACACACGGGAAAAAAAAGAAATCCTTTTACATCTACCCAACTGATAACACACACAGTTAATTAACACATATTACATCTACCCAACTGATAACACACACACAGTTAATTAGCACATATTACATCTACCCAACTGATAACACACAGTTAATTAGCACATATTACATCTACCCAACTGATAACACACATTTAATTAGCACGTATTACATCTACCCAACTGATAACACACACAGTTAATTAGCACATATTACATCTACCCAACTGATAACACACATTTAATTAGCACATATTACATTACCCAACTGATAAAACACTCTCTCAATCAACACAGATGTAAACAACTTCTTGTTCCCTCTCTTGAAAAATTCAAATATTTTGTTGATTCAAGTTCTAAATGGGGGGGGGGGGGCACTTCCAGAGGAGTGGATAACGCATCACGTTCCCATCAGGAACCCCTGAAACTAACAACACAGAAAATAGTCCTTCTCGGGACTTCCCAGAAGATGGTAGCAGATCAACAGCTGAAACTTAGGGGGAAACTAGTTAGTAATTAGTATATTTATATCATAAAAACTAGTTAGTAATTAGTATATTTATATCATAAAAACTAGTTAGTAATTAGTATATTTATATCATAAAAACTAGTTAGTAATTAGGTGACTGTATGGTCTACTAACCATGACAACGATTACTACTGCTAGTTATGATACTCAAACATAATATTAATCTTTACTGGTATTAATGGTGGTAAAAAAGATATGATATTTAACTACGCTTTTCTTTGAGGTGGTAATAACAAGATGATGTTAGTCTATAATCATATAAATGGTGGTTATCAAGATGTGGTGTTCAACTGTTTTCTTGTTAAATGTGGTACTCAAAACATGGTGTTCAACTCTTTTCTTGTTAAATGTGGTACTCAAAACATGGTGTTAAACTCTTTTCTTGTTAAATGTGGTACTCAAAACATGGTGTTAAACTGTATTTCTGTCAATGATAGTACTCAAAACACGGTGTTAAAATGCATTTTTATTAAATCCTGCTCCTAACATGGCTGCCACGTCCACAGTCATGAGATAGGAGTCTTTAATGAATATTTCTGCTTCAGTAAAGTTGTCTCTTTATGTTGTTATTAATTCCAATCATTTTCTTATGAAAAACAAAAGTTTTTCATGTAATTGCAATACGTCTTTAAAAACAAAACTTTTACAGCCTTGTGCATCAGAATTGTTAAAAATACGTTTTCTACTTTCGTAAGTTAAACATCCAATTAAACAGAGCCACATAAGAGACAAAATTGATCACTAACAAACTATCCTGAGTTTTCAGGCCCTAGAAAGGCAGTATATAACGAAAACTCTGGCGAAAAACAATGAAGGATCAGTCTGATCAAGCTGGTGAGAATCAGTTATTTATTTTAGGCTATTTTGTTGCAAAGAAATACGATAACGATAAAGTATACACAGTAATAATAATAATAAGTCTGACACACCTTTGTTTCGGGGGGTTGTGGGTGGCGGCGATAAACACAAGCAGTGTTATATAAAGGTTTTCTTGGACACGAGGTGTATACGCATGTCTATTGTGCTGGTTATGGATTTTATATACCGTATTATAATGCGTGGAGTTCACAATGCCTTTCTGTCAGACGCTGCACACTCGCAAACAATGATATCTTGGCCTATATCCAAAATTCTACAGCAACTGGCAAGCGCACCAAATCGAAGCTTCGCTCTTCAGCGTTGCTGATATTTTAATTGTTTCTGATATTCGTGCAAACCTACAGAAGAACTATCTGCTTGTTTGTTTGAAGTTATGCACAAAGCTACACAATGGGCTATCTGTGCTCTGCCCACCACGGGTATCGAAACCCGATTCTAGCGTTGTATGTCCGCAGACATACCGCTGTGCCACTGGAGGGGGGGGGGCGAACTATCTGCACTGGCAATCTATAGTTTTAAACTGATAGACTAGAGAGAAAGCAACTAATCAAGAGCACCTACCGCCAAATGTTGGGATACTCTAATAAAATACTGGAATTTGACCGTCACTCTTATAACGCATATTTCATCCCAAAATTCGGAACTTGATTTTACAGTAACGAGTCGCAAACCGTGCATCTTTGGATTCACATTTCGGAACGTAAGCCACAAGGCCACGCCTGGCCCATGTTGGTGACAAATTCATAATATATTATTTCGTGGCAAATTTTAAAAGGAAACGTAAATTGAATTAAGATTTTATAAAATAAGAAAACAGCATTCTTATGATTTTTATCAAAATAAGAAAACAACATTTTTATGATCTTATAAAGACTGAAAACTACAGACTTACAATGTTATTGAAACAGACCACGACATACTTTATGACTTTGTTGAAACAAATCGCGACATTCTTATGATTTTATTGAAACAGACCACGATAGACTTGTGATTTTGGAATGTTCTGGAATGTGAATCCAATGGTCCATTATTCACGTCTCGTTGCATCAAAATCGCGCGCTGCACTTTGGCGCTATAGATACGTCACAAAAGTGTTGGTCAAATCCCATTTCTCGATTAGGGTAGCTCAAGAGATGGCGGTAGGTGCTGCTAACGAGATTTTTCTGCTCTTATCAGTTTAACAAGAGCTATATCATACGTTCCTTCTGTAGTAACTCTTTACACGAACCAAAACACAAACAAATGTGAAACAAGAAAACGACAAAGTTGTGATTCTATGAAACAGACCATAATAATCTTATTATGTTATTACAATGAAGGCGTAGGTTAACCGTGTGATAGAATTCAGGATTTCATAGCTGGCGAACCGGGTTCGAATCTATGCAGTATCGCAAAATATTCCCCGCACTTTAAGCTGTAGGTGCATTATAAAAATGACAGGCAAACCCTCTCTCATACATGATGGTACAGAAAGTTCAAAACGTCTCTCCTTCAGGATGGTACACAAAGTTCAAACCTCTCCCCCTACATGATGGTACAGAAAGTTCAAACCTCTCCCCTACAGGATGGAAAAGAAAGTTAAGTCTTTCTTATATATGGCAGATATATCTAACATTAAACTTTCCCACTCATTATACGTTGAAGGTATGGTAGACATAACTTTACTATTCGAAAGTGTAATCACTGAGCAAATCCGGAAAAAATATAATAAGTTTCATTGAAAGTAATGAATCATTTTGTGATAATTTTGATTAATCCTTTATCTGATATATGTCAAGAAAATAGTATTTTTGTCATATTGTCACTAGAACTGGTCTTCACGAATGCTTAATAAAGTGAAAGAATTATGTCAGTAGAATTAGGGTTAGCTATTCTTCTGTTACCCGTTGTAACGTCGGTTTATTGCAGCGAGTTTCAGACATTACTCGTTTAATGACAGATAACGTTTTACTCATAACTATATCGATTTTTGAGAACATTTTCCAATAATGTTTTTCACAAAATTCACCCTAACTTCCAATCGAAGAACATTTTTCAACGACAACAAAATGACTATAATAAAAGTAATTTTACTCTAGAAACGTGTAATTTATAAAATTATGTAATTTCACAGTAATTTCGACAAAATAAAGTGAATACACGCAGGTTTAAAAAAATAATGAAACGACGTGATTGGCCTCATCCATTTAGCTATCGACAAAATAACGTGAATACACACAGGTTTAAAAAATAATGAAACGATGTGATTGGCCTCATCCATTTAGCTATCGACAAAATAACGTGAATACACGCAGGTTTAAAAATAATGAAACGATGTGATTGGTTGGTAGAACTTCCTTATTAAGTGTTTATTGGTAGAACTTCCTTATCAAGTGTTTATTGTAATTAGGAGCTACACATGCACGTCTCGGGATAAAAAAGAAGTCTTCAAACATTAATAGTGTTAACACAATATATTCTGTTAAAAACGCCTATCCGCTTTCCTCAAACTTGAAATTGAGGTAGGTATTAAGGATTTATTGGTAGAACATAATCATTAAGTGTTTATTGGTAGAACATAATCATCAAATGTTTATTGGTAGAACATAATCATCAAGTGTTTATTGGTAGAACATAATCATTAAGTGTTTGTTGGTAGAACATAATCATTAAGTGTTTGTTGGTAGAACATAATCATTAAGTGTTTATTGGTAGAACATAATCATCAAATGTTTATTGGTAGAACATAATCATTAAGTGTTTGTTGGTAGAACATAATCATTAAGTGTTTGTTGGTAGAACATAATCATCAAGTGTTTCTTGGTAAAACTTCCTCATCAAGTGTTTATTGGTAGAACATAGTCATCAACTGTTTGTTGGTAGAACTTCCTCATCAAGTGTTTATTGGTAGAAGATAGTCATCAAGTGTTTGCACTTAATGATTATGTTCTACCAATAAACACTTGATGAGAATGTTCTACCAATAAACACTTGATGATTATGTTCTACCAATAAACATTTGATGATTATGTTCTACCAATAAACATTTGATGATTATGTTCTACCAATAAACATTTGATGATTATGCTCTACCAACAAACACTTGATGATTTTGTTCTACCAACAAACACTGGATGATTATGTTCTACCAATAAACACTTGATAAGAAAGTTCTACCAACAAACACTTGATGATTTTGTTCTACCAACAAACACTTGACGAGGAAGTTCTACCTACAAACACTTGATGAGGAAGTTCTACCAACAAACACTTGATGAAGAAGTACTTCCAACAAACACTTGATGAGGAAGTTCTACCTACAAACACTTGATGAAGAAG